ATTTTAATATATTTACAAGTATATATTTTTTGAGTTGTGGTGCTAGAGAAGAATATTGAACATAACACGGCCTGGCAAGATAACACAGGTCTGTCCTGGAGTGGTGAAACCAAGTTCCTTGGAGGCAAGGATTTTGAAGCTCTATATCACATACTTTGGGCATGTGGCCAAGAGCTACCAGTCCTTGGAGAAAAACATCAGTCTTGGAACAGTCAAGGGGACAGCACAGGGGGGGAGGAGGTGGATGAGATGGATTGACAGTAGCTAGGTTTATGGGGAGAGGTGTGTTGAAGACAGTGAGACTGGCTCAGGGTAGGACAGGGCTCAGAACTATTGTACATAGGGTCACTATGAGTCGCAGACAACTTGATGGCACATAACAACTATATAAATATAAGGTGAAATACAAACAAATCTTACTTCAATTTTATCTTTCCATTATTTTCTGCTTTCAGCTTAGTTCAGTCTGTCACCAGCATTGACAGATTGACCTTACTCCACATTCAGAAAAGAAACTGTCTTGAATTTTTGGCAGTTCTCTGTAGATGTTCTGCTGCAACTGTTTTGTATTATCTTCATAAAAATTTTACTTTCATATGGTAATGGCTAGTGATTCAATAATTTCTGTACTCAATTGCTTCTTGGCCTTTTGGCTAAGATCAAGTATAGTATCTGTTCTTATCAGTTTAATATCTGGCACATCCTTTTTCTGAGAGCAATATATATTAAATGGATTTTTGGAACTAGGATATGGAATAGGTGTTTGCTCCGTCCACTCCATGTATCAACCGAGTATTGCAGTACCTCCAGGAATGGTGCACCCCTTTAAAAAAAAAAATAAAAATTCTGCATTCTGTTAGATTCCTGTTCTTTGTGATGGGCACAAATATGAATATTTCCCCTGATTTGGCTAGGTAGCTAGCTCTCTTCTAAATTTCTTGGCATAGATAAGTGAGTACATTGTATCCATTTGTTGAAACAGACCAGCTGCTGTTACTCCATCAATTCCTGGAATTCATTTTTATGCTAATGCCTTCATCTCAACTTGGAGCTCTTCCTTTAGCACTGACTTTTGATGTTCTAATTAGGCACTGTTAATACTTGGGAGCTATTTGGGGAGGTCATTGCTAGAAGACAGATGAGCGAGGCTTTAAGGAGCACAGAGGATATTCCAGAGCAGCCTCAGGGGAGACACTGTGAGGTCTAACTGTTTTGGGGGTGGTGGGTTTTGTCCAGCAGGCAGGTGAGGGAGGCATCAGCAGTAGTGTGTGCTAAGACAGAGTGTTTGGAGAAGGTTCCAGATTAGGAGATTGTTGTGGCTATAGTACGTGTGTGTGTGTGTGTGTGTGTGTGTGTGTGTGTGTGTGTGTGTATGTATGTATATATGTATTTGGAGGGTGGTGGAGGTTCTTTCTCTTTAACCTTGTTGTTGTGTACCTTCAAGTCAGAACTGACCCCATAGCTGACCCTCTGGCAGATTTTTAGAGACAGTTAATTGCACAGGAGGAGACTGCCCATATGTCTTCCTCAGAGCAGCTGCAGGATTTGAACCACAACGTTTCAGGATTGCAGCGCAGCCCCTTGCCACCGCTAGGCCCCAAAGCGAGTGAGTGCAGTCTCTGGAGTCAGACTTCCTACATCTGAATCCTAACTGCCGTTTTCTGTGTTGCCTTTGGGCAAATTTAGCCTTTAAGAACTGTCAAAGTCACTCCTGTGGAGCAAGGTCGAGTTCCCCCATTTCTGTCTCAGAACCGTCAGTGGATTCACACTGCTAGAGAGATGTGGCCTTTGGGTTACCAGCACAGCTTGCTACAGAACCTCTTGGTTTGGTGTTTAAGCCTCAGTTTTCCCATCTCTAAAATGAAGGTGGTAATAGTACCTGTCTCAGGGTTGTTGTATTAAGTGAGATAATCCATGTAAAATGCTTGTAACTGGTCAGTGTCAGCTATTATTTTCCTTCTGTGAATATGTCTTAAAGTTTTCTTCAGTGTGCCCTTACTTAAAGTGTCCCTTCTTTTCCTGTTTTCCCCTTTAGAGCTCACATGCCTGTACGTGATAATAGGCTTTGATGTAATAGTACCGGTGGGTTCAGCCTCCCTCCCTATCATTCCCACTTGGAGGGTTTCTGCTGCTTGATCCTCTGGCCAAGCAGGACTTGACACACTCCATTTCAGCCTGTTTTGGTTTATTAATTAGAACCTTTGGGTATAAGGAGTTCTGGTGACACAAATTCACCAGTGACTGGGTGGAGCAAACCAGACAATTTTTCCCCATAAAGATTACAGCCCAAGAAACACTGTGAGGCAGCTACACTGTTACATGGGGTCGCTCACGAGTCAGAATCTACACTAACCCTTAGTAACATCCTCACATAGGCAGTCAGCACGCAAATGCCAGAAAGAGAGCAGTGGGGCATACCGATTAGCTACTGAGCTTTGAAAGTGAAAAAAGTACTCTCAGAAGAATATTGAAAGCCATTTTTTTGTTGCATGTCATCCATACTGAAAGAGTAATCATTTCTCTGGAAAGCAGTATCTCTGCTTATTTGTGCAAGTAGTTTTGTAGGACATGTTTCACATGTTTGTAAGTGAATTATTGTGTTGAAAAGTAAGTGCATTTAAGATTGTCATTGTTATTGACATGCCGATTCCTATGGAGCCGCACACTGGACCATAGGTTTTACTTGGTGCCCCTCCTAGCACGGCCCACCTTCCTGAAACTTTACTAACTGCATTTTCTTCTGTTGGATTCCTCTGACTTTGTGCTGTTTGTTTGGTGAACTGTGTTCCATTGTGCATTAATTGAGACCTTTTTTCTCTCCTCAGGGGAAACCGGCTCAGGGAAAACAACACAGATCCCTCAGTACCTCTATGAAGGAGGGGTTGGCCACCAGGGCATCATTGCTGTGACCCAGCCCCGGCGGGTGGCTGCCATCTCTCTTGCCACCAGAGTCTCAGATGAGAAGAGAACTGAACTTGGGAAGCTGGTACTTGACTTTCTCCTTTGATTACCAGGGATAGCCCTTCTACACTCCAAACCCAACCTTCTTTTATTTTCCTGAACCAAGCCTTTCTTTGTACCTGAGGAAAGCCTTTTTCTTGCCATGCTTTTGTAATTTAGGCCTGTCTCAAAGGTCTTTACCAGTTCCTGCGAGATTGGAAGCTAGCAGGCTGTTTGCTTTCTATATATTGGATGCATTAATTGTTTTCCTATGAGCATCTTTAAGGTTTCGGTAATTTCAATTAAAATTATGTATCTATATATCTCTATCTCTATATCTCTCTAGGAAAAGTACATGGAGTTTTTTCAGAGGCCTGCTCTTTCAGGAGTGGATGGCCAATCCTTCTTCCTGTCTGTCTTAATCTGAATGCTCAGATTTAGAGAAGTATCTGACAAACAAGCGTTTTACGGAAAAAAGCAGATGAAGGATATTACCTCTGGGCCAATTGGCAGCATCGGGATAGATGGTGAAGAGATTAAGATTGTTAACAGCTTTAGTTTGTGTGGCTCCACAGTCAACACTCTTGGTGCCAGCTGCCAGGAAATTAAAAGACATATTGCAATGGGAAAGTCTGCTGTTAGGGGCTTCTCCAAAGTACCAAAGAGCAGTGGTGTCACTCTGGAGAGTAAGGTGCGTCTGATACAGGCAATGGTCTTTGCAATCGCTTGTTATGTGTCAGAGAGTTGGATAATGACTAGGAAGGATAGAAGGAGAATTGATGCTTTGGAGCTGTGGTGTTAGAGAAAAGTATTGGATGTACCATGGACTGCTAAGAAAATGGACAGGTTCATTCTGGAGAATGTTAAACCAGGCTGCTCCTTGGAGGCAAGGATTCTGAAGCTTCATCTGACATACTTTGGTCATGTTGCAAGGAAGGACTAGTTCTTGGAGAAGGACATTATGCTTGAGAGGGTAGAGGAACAGTGCAGGAGAGGAAGACCCTCTGTGAGGTAGAGTGATTCAGTGACTGGGGTAGTAGAGGTAGGTGTGTCAGAGATAGTGAGATTGGCATAGGATAGAGCAAGGTTTAGAGCTGTTGTACACAGGGTCACTGTGAGTCACAGGTAACTTGATGGCACATAAAAACAAAACAATCTAGAAAAAGCATAAGCATCATTCTGTATATATGTGGGCATTGATAAGTAGTTTAAAAAAATCAACAAGTTCCAGATTGTGTGTGTGTGCATGTGTGTGTGTGTTCATTTAAAACCTTCTTGACCCTTTCTCCTGTACATGGCTGTACCTTAAAGTAATAAGTTGCTTGGGGTATTGTAGGTTAATTTTAAGTTCCACATATTTGGGTGTTCTTCAGTTTTCATTCTACTGTTAATTTCTAGTGTAATTTCATTATACTTGGAGAAGATACTTTGTATTAAATTAATTAAAACTTGCTTTGTGACCAAATACTTGGGCTGTCCTGGGAATGTGTTACATATGCGCTGGAAGAGAATGTATATTGTGCTGTGTCAGGTGGTGTGTTCTCTCTCTTTCTTTTGGATCTAGTGGGCTAGGAGTGTTGTTCAGGTTCTTTATTGATGTTTTTTCCAAGTGTCCTTTTGCAGCTTAGTCTGAATTCTTTGTAACACTTTTAATGCTGCAGGTAGATGTGCATGTTCATGATCTATCTCCTGCAGAGGACTGCCAGCCCCCTGAATGGCTCAGCGTGTCAGGCTTGTTCACTCCTATGGTGCAGGTGCTGGCGCAGCGATAGACAGACAGTAGTTGCACAGAGTGCTCTTTCTCACAGGTTGGCTATTCTGTGCGCTTTGATGATGTCACCTCAGAAGACACCAGAATCAAATTCCTGACTGACGGCATGCTTCTGCGTGAAGCAATTTCAGACTCCCTGCTCCGGAAGTACAGCTGTGTCATTCTAGATGAAGCCCACGAGCGGACTATCCACACAGATGTGCTCTTTGGGGTGGTGAAAACTGCACAGCGGAGACGGAAGGAACTAGGGAAACTGCCTCTCAAAGTATGTACAGCATGTTTGGGGAAACCAAGAAAAAAAACCCAGTGGCAGGGGATCGATTCAGACTCGTAGTGTCCGTATAGAAAAGAGTAAATCAGCCCCGTGAGGTTTCAAAACCTTTTTTTTTTTTAATGAAAATGTATTTATTTATTTATCAAATTATCAGATAGGAAAAAATTCACAAAACGTAATTGTATGTACAAGCAAGTTACTTCTCACAAGTGGACATACCTTTGTACTCCTCACCTAGAGGAGGAAATCCTAACCCATGTTCCTTATCATCATCATAGCCAGGTGACTATGAAGCTGTCAGCTATCAAAAGTAACAATAACCTGGCTTCACACCTAGATCCCTAGCTTGAGTTTTAACTTTACATTAATGAAAATATTCAGTATGCATTCCGTCCTGTGGGACTTAACATTTTTTGCTCATGAGATTGATCTCTTCTTTTGCATATAATACTTTTGGCTTGTTCTCATTGCTGTTAAAGCCTATTGAAACAAACTGCTGCATCTTTCTACCGAGACACAGTTTGTGGATTTGAGTCTCTCACCTTCTGGCTAGGAGAAGAGCACTTCAATCACTGTACCACCAAAGCCTACTATATTTAAAGACATAATCTTCCTCAGCATGTTTTCCTTTGCCCATTTGCTTCCAGATCATGGGGGTAGTTAACCTTGATCGGAGTGACACAGGTTTAATCATTGATTTTTGTTTGGGAGGGACACAGAACGGCTGCCCATTTGTTGTTTCCAGTGTGTCTGCTCTCTTGGATAGGTGATTGTGATGTCAGCCACGATGGATGTGGACCTCTTCTCTCAATACTTTAATGGAGCCCCTGTCCTCTACCTGGAAGGACGGCAGCACCCAATCCAGGTTTTCTATACCAAACAGCCTCAGAATGACTACCTGCATGCAGCATTGGTCTCCGTCTTCCAGATCCACCAGGTAGTAAACATTTCTGTGTTTCCCGCCTCCCACCCCAAGCTGACATTAATAGCATTTATGCCTTGAAAAGAAAAGTTAGTAAATTAGGACAACTCTATCATTAATATGAGTAGAGAGTTTATTTATCATGTTTTTGCCTTTTTAATTTTATTTTCTTCAAAAAGAAAAGCAATTCACACATGAATACAGAAACTGAGCAATGTGTTTTTTCAGTGGAACTAGAAGAGCAGTGACTTGCATACCTGTTTTGAGCTTAACTCCTAGTTAGAAGCAGCTAAGAGCACAATTTCCTCTGCATTCCAATCCATGATGCCTAGCATTGAAACATGTTCAGTATCAGCAAGGTAACATGTAACTGAAGCAAGTTTTGTAAAACTACACTTTTCACGTAACTATCTGAATATCCAGCATTTCATATTTACTGTTGTTAGGTGTCATCTACTCATAGTAACCCTATGAATAAAAAATCTGAACCCTGCTCTGTCCTGTGCCTTCCTAACACTTCTGACACAATAGCCGTTGCAACAGGCACCATGTCAGTCCACTGGTTGAGGGTCTTTTATTACAAAGGTGAAAAAAAAGAATCTACCGTCCAACTTTTCCATCTTAACTGACTTACATCTCACAGTGCCATGTACAAGACCACAATATAGTGACTTGGACCTTGGAACCTAACCAAGTATGGAGTGAATGTCCATTTACTAAATGTAATAAAGAACTGTATTTTGTTAAAAAAGGAGGGAGGTAGTTTTTATGGCTTCTACCCTCTCCCCAAAAGAAAGAGTAATATTAATCCAATAATGAGTCATTCTTTATAGTTTTAAAAAAACCCCTCCATATTAGAAAAAATTTTCAAAAGCTCTTTCATCTTGTGAAGCACTTATTTTAAAAGACAAATGATGAGACCATCTCAGTTGCTCAGTTTTGTTTTGTTTGTGTAAAATAAGCCGTTTTTAGTTTCCCTTTAACATTCTGACAAAATCTGATTCATAGTTTAAAAAGTCAAGTAGTTAATTTTAAAAGGCTCATAATGAAAAAATAAGGTCATTCTTTGTAATGTAGTTTTTGTGAATTCTTATTTGCTTTTTAGTGATGCATAATCTTCAGTTGTATGAACGCACTAGTTTCTTTACCTATTCTTCCACTTGCATTGTTCCCACCTCTTTACTATTACAGATGCTGTGAGAATCATGGGTGTGTATCAGTTTGTGTCGAATCTCATTTCCTTGGGAACTGTTCTTAATACTGAGATTGCTGAATCAGATGATATTTTTGTTCCCAACTTTCTGAGAAAGCACCACCTGCTTTCCAGATGGCTACACCATTTTGCATCATCACCAGCATTGTATGAGCTCCAGTCTCGCCACACTCTTGTCAGCATTTGCTGTTTGCTTTGTTACTGAACATTGCTGTTGTTGCTGGGATGAGATGTTACCTCATGTTGTTATGATATGCATTTCTCTAGTTGCTAATGATCTTGGATATTTCTTCATGTGTTTTTTGACTCTCTGAATGTTTTCTTTGCTGAGGTATTTATTCATGTTCTCTAAATCTGTCAGTATTTGGAATCACAAGTTGTAAAGTTGAATGTCGCAAGTGAGTATCTGAGAATGAGAACATCAGCAGATTACACACTACCATATGTTATTAATGATAAGATGGTGAAAAAGTAGTTGTAAATGCAATTCCTCATAATTTGAATATGTTTTAAGTTGAGGGCTCCTGGTTTTCTCAGTAACCTAATGTTGCTGTTTCATGATTGATTGCTGTTATTCTTAGGGACTGTCCAGTCAGTTTTGACATATTGTGACAAAGTACAGCTGTCTAGTAAGGTTTTTATTGTGACATCGATAACAGTAATATTATAATAGTTCATCTGTTGCTGACAGTCCGCTGTTGCTGGGCTTTCTTTCTCGTAGAAAGTTGTATGAGCGTTCTTCATACCTCTGACAAAAGTTTTTCCCCAAATATTACAACGTTAAGGTTTTTATGCAATCAAACCCAGGCATTTTTCCTAGTCTTTCATGATACTATATAGTTGGAACAGGTTTCTTTGCTGGTGCTCAGCCTCTGTCAATTCTGAGTGATCCAGTGACCCTATTCTTCTTTCTAGGAAGCCCCGTCTTCTCAGGACATCCTGGTGTTTCTCACTGGCCAGGAAGAGATCGAAGCAATGAGCAAGACTTGCCGAGACATCGCGAAGCACCTCCCCGACGGCTGCCCTGCCATGCTTGTCCTTCCTCTGTATGCCTCCCTGCCCTACGCACAGCAGCTCCGTGTCTTCCAGAGCGCGCCCAAGGTGAGTGCACTGCCTCCCGTCCTGCCTGGTCCTGGGCACATGTGCCGTGCCATCAGGTTCCTGGTAGGTAGACGTAGTGGGATGATCGAGTCACAGACTGATTGGAAAGCCACAGGAAGATCATGTGTAGCCACAGATACAGTGTTCTGAGGTAAGAATAGGGAGGTAACTGTCAGTAGTTGAGCGTGAGAGGGAAAGTTAAATGACTCATTGCCAGCACATCCAGCTATACTTGTCCATTGATCAGGTTTCTGTGATGTGCCAGGCACTGTGCTAATGCCTTAAGTACGCACACGCATACTCTTATCCTCTTGAGAAACCCGCAAACTACGTTATGGTCCCATCTTATAAACACTGAGATCCTGAGAGATGAAGTAACGATTGTTTGGGGGCCCAGAGGCAGTAATGTGCAGGGCTAGAATGCCCGCCTGCATCTGCCTGCCTCTGACTCTGGTGCTAAATCCTCTCCACCTCATCACCTCAGAGTAAGCTTTGGAGGGCCACCTCCCTGCCCTCCTTCCCACCGCCCATTTAATAAGTGCCCACCACAGAATCACTCATTAGTAGCACAGTTGTTTATTTTATTTTCTTAACCATGAGTGAATGCTCTGGGGAATTAATGGTGAGGAATGTATTTGAAAGCTGCTGAATCATACGTGTGTCATATGGCTTTTTGGTTTTCTTTTAGGGCTATCGCAAAGTGATCATTTCAACCAACATCGCTGAAACCTCCATAACCATTGCAGGAATAAAATATGTAGTTGACACGGGCATGGTTAAAGCAAAGAAGTATAACCCTGGTGAGAACGGTAGCTCATGAACATCTCTTCTGGGTCTAGTGAGCCGCTGTTGCGTTTCCTCTAGTCTCACAGTTTCTCCAGAGTGAACGAACATTCCACATTTGTAGCTAAATCAGATTTGAGTGGCAGACCCCCCTAAGCGAGACAGTCGAGAAGCCAAGTCCAAAAAGGAGCCCTGGGACAGGTGTTTGAGACCCAGGAGGCAACAAGGCAGAAGGCAGAGGCTGGGCTTATCCAGGGGGTCAGAGAGGCAGGGGCCTGGGTGAGGTGTGGGATCCAGGCAAGAATTGCAGAGACAGCTTGCTAACAGCCCAAGACTTAGGCTGGAAGTAACATTGGAGCTCCCAGAAAAGAAACAGGCGCCCTAAGCTGAAATGGGAAGGTATTTTCTCATCTGTTTCATACCTCACCATACTCTACAGAGGATTGGAGGCAAGTGAAATGATTGTTCCCAGAGGTTTGTGATGTACTGGAGAGTGCTAACTTCACACACACGTCTTTTAGAGTTAATGTGTGTGAAAGGGCTTGGTTCTCCAGCGCCTGGCATAGAACACACCTCTGTCATAATTCACTCACAGGAAGCAAACCTCATCCAATCTCTGAGTCCTGATAGACCTGGGAAGTGGGGAAGCACCCCCATCACTTGCAGCACTTAATTTCCAAGTCACTGACTGGTAGGGAGACCACCCATCCCCTGCTTTGCCAGGAACAGTTTTAGGACCGAGGGCTCTACCTCCTGGGCAAACTCGGAAGGCTGGTCCCCCTTTATCTAAGCCAAGACCTGAACTCAGCTGTGACCCTTTGCTGTGAGCCCAAAGTTTTCCTTGTGATTTAGGAACAGACTCCACACACCACTCCATTGGGGCCCCAGTTGTGTGAGGCCACACCACTTCAAAGCAGCCCGGCTTGGTGCTTTTCAAACGTGCTTTGGTTTGGGGGTTCCCTTACCCCACCTTTTGTCCCCTGTCCTGCAGAAAGCTCACTGGTGTTCTGAAGAGTGCTCCTGCTTGTCAGGGCTGTAGAAACCGTTTGTTTATGAGAGGAGTGAAGCACTCGTGTGGTCTGTTCTCCTTGCAGACAGTGGTCTTGAGGTGTTAGCTGTGCAGCGGGTGTCAAAGACCCAGGCCTGGCAGCGCACGGGGCGGGCTGGCAGGGAGGACAGTGGCGTCTGCTACCGGCTGTACACTGAGGATGAGTTTGAGAAGTTTGAGAAGATGACAGTGCCAGAGATCCAGAGGTGAGCTCGGTCACCCCTGTTCCTGCCTCATATCCCGCTCACTGTTTCCCACGTCTTGCGTTCTCCTTGTGCCACCGGTTCTCAGGAGCGCCCCTCGGTGAGCAGTTCTGTTCCCTGGCTGGAGAGAGGTAAATGCACTGCATCTCTCACTCTGTAGGTGTAACCTGGCGAGTGTGATGCTGCAGCTCCTAGCAATGAAAGTCCCAGATGTGCTCACTTTTGACTTCATGTCCAAACCGTCTCCAGGTAAGTGCAGTCCTTGGTGCACTGATGGACCTTCCCTAAAATTTAGGGGAAGGAAATGTTTTAGTGAACTTCTTTACTTAGCTTCATTAGTGGATAATACATTATCTAGCAGAGGAGTATCTGAAATTGGGATCTGGTTGATTCTGTGCTTTCAGCATAGTTCCTGTGCATGGTAACAGTATCATACCAGGACTCCACTGGGTTCAGGGATGCTAGTTGAACACTCTTCATGCTATGCTGCAGAACCCCGATGGACATTGTACCTTTCTTAGCAAAAGAACAAAGGACTAAAATCTGATCTTTCCCAAAAATGCTTTGAATGAACCTTTTATTATTTTTGTCTTAATCATGTATGTGCCCCCAAACGAATACCAGGGCTTATTTCTGGAATATGTGAGAACAGGGACAGACAGAGGGCAAGAGTGATCCCAGCCTTTGTCTCTGCATGTCTTGTGCTGCATTGCCCCTCGCTGGTAATCTCCCTGCTGAGAGAGAGCAAAGAGTTGGGATTCTGCATGATGAAGACTCTGATGATCAGTGTCGCTTCACTGTACCATTTTCCTTTTATTTTTCTTTTTTCAAAAAGTGCTAATAGACACCCCCCCCCCAATTTCCACCCAGAGAAAACAGCTTTTAGAAAGGACTGGGCTTGCAGGACCTGCACCTCCTTGAAGCCACTAGTATGACCATTTCCCAGATGTCACCTTCTAGAGAACATCGGTGTGTAACTCCCCAAATAGCAACACACTTAGGCACTCTTCTACACTTTACCTTTTATTTTTTTATTTTTTTATGGAAAAGTAAAAGAAAAGATTCTTTCATTGTTTTACAAACACTCCCCCTGGTCCCCTCCACCATGCAGCCCTCGCTCTAGTCTCCTGTGATGACAGAAATACCCAGTTACATCTCTCTTTTAGACGGTTCTCTCCCTCCTCTGTTTCAGTGCAGTATACATTATTGAACCCATCTTACTCAGTCTCTCCCCAACCCCAGGGACAGTCCCATTCTACAACAGTGGCATCATGTAATATTCTTCTACACTTTACCTTTTATTTATTTATTTTTAAATAAATAGATTTTTTTTTCCTCTTTTTAAAAAATTTTTTTTATGCTGGTTTCTTTACAATATTATTTTTTGATAGTTAAGACAGGAAAGTTTATTAAGCAGGAGAAACATTCTTATGAACATGGACCATTTTAGGAGGTAGAGGTGAGGAAGGGCTTTTCTTTTAATGGCTAAATTCCTACATACAAAGAAATAACATGCCATGATGGCTGCCCTTGGTGGACAGTGTTTGGTGGAGCTCCCAGTTTAAGACCAGTTTGGAAGCAGGAGTGACATCCACTTCCTAAACCATATGCCTCTGGAAACTATGAACCTGGAGAAATGACAACAGTTACAGAAAAGGCTTCAGGCCTTTGGTTCATAGGGTTGCTATGAGCCGTGCTCGACTCGACGGCAATCAGCATATACAAAGTACATGGAGTAATAAGCACCGGTGTTCCAGGCCGCTCCCTGGCTGCACACTTCCTTCCCTCTCCTAAGAGGGAAACATTCTCTTTCGCCCACATTCTTTTTTGTAGTTCTCTTGCTGGTTCTTTTGTCCTTTGAAATGTGTATGCACGACTAACCAGTATGCTGTTTCAGTTTCATGCTTGCGTCTTCATTGCCTGGCAGCTTCTTTTTTCATCTAGCATGTTATATAAGGTTTGTTGATGGCTTTTCCTTGCTAACCACAGTGCCAGTGTATGGATAAGTCACAGTATGTTGACCTGTTCTATTGATAGACATTTGTGCCTTACATTAATCACAAAATATATTAACAGCTCCTTCCCTATCAGTATGTGTTGACTGCATCCTGATATATGTGCTATTTTTTGTTCTTTAGTAGGCAATGCATGTATATGAGTCAAAGTATTTTTTTAAAAAATTTTTTTTCATCCTTGGTCTCCTGGCATCCTAGGCTGCATCTGCTGCAGATGCAGTTGCTTCAGCTAGTATTTCCCTTGTTGTTCTAGTCAAGATAAATGGAAGCAAACTTCTGTTCTTCTTCCACTCTTTATTTTTCCCCTCATTTAATTTAACAAAATAAAATTTAATAAATTTAACAATTTAAATTAAAATACCATAGTTTTGAGCCTTGCCTGTTTTTGTTTACCTTAGCCACTTTATTTGTAGATTGTTCCATGTTAGTAGATATGAAACATCTTAATAACTTTTAATGACTACTTTTTTTTTCTACATAATGAGTATCCCTTACTTCTAGTGATGTATTACAGGTGATAATGTTACAAAGATTATCCTGTGTATGCAGATTTCTGTACCATGTATATTCCTAAATATTACATTGTTGAGTTAGCAGATATGCATGTTAAAATTTATGTAGAAATTATAGGTCACTAATTTGAGAAAGGACTTGAGCTGGTGACAGTGATGTCGTTACCAGCTTTGCAGAATATGTTGTGGGGGGCCTGGTAGTTGTGATTGTTGCTCTTGTGTGGTGTAGAGCTATCAGAAACACTAGAGGCACCGAACTGGCTGTGCCTTCTTCCTTTTTTGTATTTTTGGCTCCTTTTTGTGTCTCTTTCTTTAGATCACGTGCAGGCGGCCATTGCCCAACTGGACCTGTTAGGCGCTCTTGACCATAAGGATGACCAGCTCACCCTGACTCCAATTGGAAGAAAGATGGCAGCATTTCCTTTAGACCCCAAATTTGCCAAGGTAAATGATACAGTCTTCTCAAGTCCCCGTAACCCTTCCTAAATTCCCTTTCCAAAGTACCTTGACCAGTGAGTCTTCTAGGTTGTTCCACACCTTCTCTTCTGTCTTCAACCTCTTCTTTCTGTAGGGCACTCTGTTCTCTGTGGGGTACTAACTCATGACCCTTGTCTGCAAGGATTTGGAATTCTTTGCAAACACAAGCATCTGCTTTATAAAAAAAAGCAAAATAATACTAACATGTATAATTGTGCATTATCCAGTTGTGGTTTTAGATGGCCACCTTTGAACTCCTTAGAAGGGAAGATGCAGAAACAGTAGGCAGAAGTGTGTTTGGAAGCCAGGAGGAACGTAGCTTAAGCGATTGTGAATTTGACTTGCAGACTATACTCCTGTCCCCCAAGTTCCACTGCACCGAGGAGATCCTGACTATTGTCTCCCTGCTGTCCGTGGACAGTGTTCTCTACAATCATCCTGCCCGCCGGGACGAGGTGCAGGGTGTTCGGAAGAAGTTCATTTCCAGTGAGGGGGATCATATCACCCTACTGAATATCTATCGGACCTTCAAAAACCTCGGTGGGAATAAAGTAAGTCTAGTTTCAGTTTTTTCCTGATAATCATCTTTCAAGTTTATTTTGTAAATTCACTTTCCTTTTTGCTGAATCATCTGATTGTTGTTGTTGTTATTGTTGTTGTTAAGCTGTCGAGTTATAGACGACTCATAGCAACCCTGTGAACAAAAGACCTGAACACTTGTATAACTTTCATCATTTCTCCAAGTTCATAGAGTTTCCAGAGGCAAGTTATATCGGAAGTGGATGCCACTCCTGCTTCCAAGCTTGTTTTCATCAGGGAACTCCGCCAAACACTGTCTGCCCTGGGTAACCATTAACACATTTGGCACATCAGGGTCACAGCAACCACGACCAGTACTATACCACTTAGAAGAATGTTTGCCCAAAAACAATTAAAACCAAGCCTGAGGGCTGCAGATTAAAATCACAAATACATCAGAGTTTCATTCCCAGTGTGTGAAGATAGATTAAGAGCTTGTGGCTTTTGTCTCATTTATATTGAGTTTGAGTTTAATTTGAGCATGTTCGTCAAGCTTTCAGTGATTCAGTCTCTTAGTGGTGTAATAGGCCTCCCACCCTGCCTCTTACTTTCTTTATAGGGAATTTTACTTGTGCAATATTTCAGTTTCTTAGACTAAAATGGAAAATGGCAGTATATTCTCTGGTTTATTAATAAAGTTAGTAATTGTTCCACAGTGCCCACAATTTTGTCACTCTTTAAATATAAAAATAAGCTACCATCCAGTTCCAGCACCCACCAACGTTTTTGCTGTACTTGTCTCAGTTAATATTTAAGGAACTAAAATGCTGCAGACAGAGGGAAAGCCCTGGTCTCCTTTCCTCGCTGTGTTGTAACGGCTGTCCTGAAGTTGGTGTGCACGTTCTTCAGGAGTGATGCTTCTTAACTTCATATCTAAGCATGCTGTGTTCTAGAAGTATTTTCTGACACCAGCCTCTTTTTTTTTTTAAAGAAAAAAAGACATTCAGCATTGCATTTAGCAGTCAGTATCATGGGTGCGGAGGGGGGGAAAAATCTGTGTTAAAACCCTTTTGTTTTCAGAATACTTTACTCTTCACTGAACAGAAATGAAAATAATAGTCACAAATACGGTCCTTGAGGATTTTTGCCCATTCCCTTGAGTATTGTCTAAAATATATCTTCTTTGTAGCAGCTCGGCCCTGCCACCACTGTGCTTGGATAAGTTCACAGATCTACTGTGACCTGTAGCTTCCCTCTCACTCTTGGCTCTCCTCTCCTGAGCTTTGTTTTCTGACAGTCATTAAAACTGTCTGTCACTGCCGTAGCTGCTGCCCCTTCCTGAACCACCACAGCCACCTTGGTCTCATGGTTTGATAAAATAACAACCTCCAGCATCATAAAGACCAGAGCTTCTGCCTCCAAAGTTCCCCCCTTCATGGGTCCAGAATTTAAAAATTGGTTGTTGTAATTGCCAAAATCATTATAGCTTCCACTCCCTTCAAAGTTGCTTCCATCATTACCAAATCCACCATAACCATCCCCACTGCCTCCATATCCTCCACCACCACCATGGCTGCCACCAAAGCCACCTCGTCCACTGGATATTTCCTCTTCAACCAGAGCTGTCATTCCCAACAAAACTACCTCTAGGGCCACCACAAGAGTTTCTAGAACTGCACCAACCTCTGGCTGCAAGAGGCACTGGCCATTCTTTACTTCACAATTGTGACCATTCAGAGTACGTTATTTCTGAATAATGATTTTATCTACAGAGTCATGCTCATCAAAAGCTACAAAAGCAAAACCCCTCTGCTTGCCACTGCCCTGTTAGTTATGATTTCAGTCACTTCTGTTTTCCCCGTACTGGTCTCCCTCTCCCTCCCACTCCCTCTTCCTCCCTCTCCTCGAACTCAGTGTTATCTGAACACAGTGGTGCCTGAGACTGCATTTCATAGGAGGTTATCACACACCTTTCTCCCAAGGAGCCATTCACGGATTCAAACCACCAAATCGGCACAGCCTTTGGTGGGCACTTCCCACAGATTGTGCAGAGCACCCATTTGCCATTCTCATTGCCACTGGGTCAAAAGCAACTCAGAACTGACCCTGTAGTGGGTGGTTTTCAGAGGCAGTTTGTTTTTCTCCAATCTTAATGCTACATTCTTCTTTATGTATTCAAGCTCCTTGAATGATTTTCTCAGTTTACAGATTAAATAGGTATGGAGAAAGGATCCAATCCTGATACATACCTTTCCTGATTTAAACTATGCAGTGTTCACTTGTTCTGTTTGAACAATGCTTTCTTGGTCTAGGTAGATAGGTTTCACATGAGCACAATTAAGTGTAGTGGGAGTCTCATTCTTCTCAGTATTAGGCATAATTTGTTATGACCCACACAGTCTGTTGGTTTTGCATAGTTAATAAAACACAAACTCAAATTGTGACTTTAGGTATATTTTCCTCTTTTTAGATATATTTTCTTTCTTTTTTTATATAGTTTTATTGTGTGTGTGTGTGTACCGTCAAATCGTATCTGACTGGTCAGGAGGAGATTATCCCTCCTTCTCCAGAAGAGAATCTGGTGGATTCAAACCGCATACCTCTGGGATTGCAGTGCAGCTAGATTTATTTTCTTGTATTTATTTTTGACATCCAGAGTTTTTCCTATCTTCTGATTTCAGCTGTGTTCTGAAATTGTTATGTATTTTCTGAGGAATTGTGATATCTCTGTTTTGTTCTGTTCAGGATTGGTGCAAAGAGAATTTTGTCAACAGCAAGAATATGATGCTTGTAGCTGAAGTCCGAGCACAGCTGAGGGATATCTGCTTAAAGGTGGTGTTTCTTTCTGCCATTCCTTGGGGTGGGAATGTGACTTCTGTGACTTGGTGTGGTGGCCTGACTAAACTGTCACTTTTTCCTATGTAAAATTTTAAAAGTTTCTTATTGTTAGTGATTATAAAATAATTATTGTTAAAGGAAAATTTAGAAGGAAAAATTGACGAAATTAAAATTAAGTGTCCTTTTAAAAAAATTTATGTAGAACTTAACATTTAGCTTATATAGATGCTTTTATATCTAATACTATTTCTTAAGAATTTTCTTATTGGAGGGAGCTCTGGTGGCCTAGTAGCACGCTAGAATCCACCGGATGTTCTGCTGGAGAAGGTGGGACAGTCTCTTTCTGCCAGTTGGATCTGGCACAAGTTGGGGGGGAAAAAAAAAAAAAGAATTTTCCTTCTGGGAACATCTTATTGTCCAGATTACAAAAGCAAATGTATGAGGGCCTTTTCTCCACATGTCCTTTTGAGGAGGAAGGTCTGTCCCTTTGGGGATGTAATTTTCTAATAAATCTTTCATTACTATTTACCCCCCCCCAAAAAAGAAAAAAAAACCCCAAATATATAGTAAGTAATTCTTAAACATTATAAAAAATTTTGAAAGCCTCCCATAATCTTGCCCCTTTAGGAATAAGAGTACTTAAAAGTTTGGTGTCATTTCTTCGAGACTTTTTTCCCCCTATGCATATATCTGTGCATGTCTCACTCAGGGCGGGGTTGTGTGTATTTCTTGATAACCTTGGTTTTGAAATGCTGCTTTGGGGGGGTGTGCTTTCTTCCTTTGTTGGGTTTGTTTTTTGTTGTTAGTTTTTTTTTGCTGTAGTTTTTGGCATACTTCATTGCATTGCGGTGCACAGGATTTACATGTGGGATCTTCTTTTCCATTGAGCCAGCTGTCGATGCCGGTCGCGTCTTCGCGTGGAGACATGGAGAGTGTCCGCCGCTGCCTGGCACACAGCCTGTTCATGTGCAGCGCGGAGCTACAGGCGGACGGCACGTATGCCACCACGGACACCCACCAGCCCGTGGCCATCCACCCATCCTCTGTGCTCTTCCACTGTAAGCCGGCCTGCGTGGTGTACACGGAGCTGCTCTACACCAACAAGTGCTACATGCGGGACCTGTGCGTGGTGGATGCCGAGTGGCTGTATGAGGCGGCACCCGACTACTTCAGGAGGAAGCTGAGAACAGCCAGGAACTGAGGCCCTGGCCTCGCCTAATTGCGGCCTGTGGGGGAGCTGGGACCGTCCCTCCTCACATCTCCTGAGCTGCCTCAGAGAGAGGCCATGAGTGGAATTACAGCCGGGCGAGTGCCCGACTTCCAGGAGCTCAGAGGTCCTTATTTAAACCCCTGTGACTGAACTCTACAAAGTGCACACGCCATTTATACTTGGAAAACTTTTGGAACTTTCAGTTCTTTATGTGTGATTTTGGATGACTTCTGAGCCTCCATTTCCTCCTCTTTCCTAAGAGGGAGATGATGACAATTATACTTGGACGATCGAGGCCATAAAATGTAGGGAAAATGAATGGATGCAAAGTACCTGAAACTGTGCTTGGTGTAAGGCAGAAACAAGGTAAATTGTGAGACTTTACTGGTTTTTATGTGATGAGAATCAGTACAAGGTCCTGTGAGTTCTTGTGACTGTGGGAACATTGCAAAAGGTTCTCAAAGGAGGTCATAGCAGTAGGGTGCTGTCCTCAGATCTACATTAACTTCTACACGTATGAAGTTTTAAAGTAAAAAAACTGACTTCCCATAGACGTTTCTGGCGGGAGGTGCTTTCATCTTTTCTCTGCGATGTCCCTGGTCGGCCCCTCCCTGCCCAGGGGACGACTCCTGTCCCACACTAAACACTAGACAGGGCTGCTCTAGGTAATCAGGTGTATCTGCCCTGGGGGTCTTCATCCTGGGGGTCTCTGTATGCTTGTCCCCCATTAGTGCTTCCAGGAGGCATACCTCCTTCGTGGGCTACAAGATTGATTGGTACGATTTTGTTTTCTTTTTCAGCTTCCCCCTTCCTCTAGCCTACTATATGTTGATTTGTATCATTTGAATCCTGTCATGTCTAGACCCAGGGAGTTGGCCTTTTAGTGTGATGGCCCCCATGTGAGCATAAGGAATGGCTCTGGACACATTTTGGCCATTTCTTTTCTGACAGGGCCATTTGTCATCTGGGGCAAGGGTGGTTATAGCCGCAGGTCAATGACGACCCACACAACATTGACTCATGCCTTCTGCATCTTGTTTTTTTATTTATTTCCACATCTAGTTTCCTTCTTAGGCACTTGAAGCCCTTCTTTGCTGCTCCCCAGACTGGCCTGCCACCCCACCGCAGCCCTGTTTTCAACATGAGTGAAGATCTTCACAGTCTCTTCCTGCTCTGTTTCAAGAGAGAAAAGACTGAAGGTTCCTATTTGATACCTAATTATCAAAAGCAAATAATCTCAGCTCTAAAAATTGTGCTTCGCTGGCTTTAACACATCTGGGCAGAATTTTGGCCATTACTTAAAACTGCAAAAGGAAACATGCAGTTTATAAACACAGGGCCAAACTCTGCCTCGGATCCTCTTCAGAGACAATCTCCTCAGTCAAGGTCTAGGATGCTTCTCCAAGACCATGGCTAGTGTGTTGCCCAGGCCCATGGTCTCACACGTGCACAGTGGTGCTGCTCAGGCTGGTTCGGTTTTTTTTTTGCACTGGCTCTAATATTGAGCGGTCAAGCTTTAAGTAGTGTTCAGGGAGTGTTGGGGCACTTCTGAATTATTTCTCTTCGTAGAAATAGTTCATGTAAGCCAAATAGAATGAAATAGATCCTGTGTATACCCTGTCTTGTTGAGTTTAGACTTGAACAGGGGGGACTATAGTGGTTCCATGGAAGAATTTTCTTTTTCCATGAAGGAGGCCTGGGTTTGATTCCTGGCCAGGACACCTCTAGTGTGGCCCCTGTTGCAGGTTGCTATGCTCAACAGTTTCAGTGGAGCTTCTAGGCTAAGAGACTGAAAAGTAAGGTCTGGCTATCTGCTTTTGTAAATCAACTATTGAAGCCCAGTAAATCACAGTGGTACAACCCTGCTGTGCAAGGGTTTGCCACGTGTTGAGTGCTGGCTTGGTGGTAGTGCCTGTGCTTGCACATTTCCCCCCTTCCCCCTCCCCTTGGCTCTTCTCAGATTAACTTGCTCTGGCCATTCTTTACTTTCTGTTTTTCTTTCCTTTTATTATTTAATAAAGGGCTAGAATGTTTATCCTGACTTGGTAAAAGAAAACATGTTTCTAATAAAGCTAGCATCCTTCAGCATTCATCTGGATGGTAAAGTTAGGGTGGGATGGTTGACTTAGTCCTCAGCACATTTGCTCCCTAACATGATTTCTAATTCCTTATTCTCTGATTCAAGTGAAACTTAACTTGAAATAGTATGTGTCATATTTAAGTACCTGAACTGTTTGCAGAAGTTTACATTCTTTACTGAGTGAAAATAGGGGGCCAAAGGGTGTAAATAGCTTCTAAGTAACTAATGTTTCTGTACAGAAATAATGTTTATTATCACTGTAACATTCTTGTAGAGTTGTAATACAGTATTTAGTTTTTTATTGGGCTTTTTAAGATGTTAACTTTTAACATATCTGCTCAGGGATTGAGTCTGTTTGGAAAACCCATTGTGACCTCATGTATTACTACAAAGAAATAAATGGTTATTTATATGGAGCTGGAAGTAATAGTATACTTTAAACTTACTTGAGAAAGCTAAATGTTTCACAGTAGTATTGCATTATAATCTTGAGCTACTTTTTTTTCCTCTCGCCTAGTTTTCTTCTTTCACCAGTTGGTAAATTCTCTGACAGTGTGAGACCTCTTTTTCAAACCTTGAAATTGGAATCTGGCCTAGTCATTAGCTCCTCTGAGAGAAGTCCTGTAAATAGATGCACTTCGAGCAGATTGCATGCATCAGGTGTTTTTCCTCCTTGTAGTCATCATAGTGTGCGACCTTGATAGTAACCCAGGTTTCAATACTAGGGAGCAGACTGCCAGCACTGAGCCCTGGGGTGGCAGAGCTAAAAAAACCTTACTGTTGTACCTACTGGTATAACATGCTCTCAGCATAGAGGCAGGCTTTTCCTCCAGGATGGAACATCTCTGCACTGTGATAATGTAAGTCTACCCAGTCAAGCTCCCAGGAACTGCTTGGAACTGCACCTGTGTGGAAACAACTATTTCAGTATGTTTTATTTTATCAGAATATTCTATAACTTGCAAACAATAAAAGAGGAAAAAATAAAATTGGTTTGGGTTTGTTTATGTTGTATTTTGAGAGTGGTCTTGTTCAGACAGTTCTGCTCAAACACCAGCTCTTTTGTATGTAATGCTCAAATTTGCACATGCCTACCCATTAAAAAAATAATCTTGTATACCCTATGTGTAGCTTCTTTTTCGGGTCTCCTTTCCCCAGTCACAGAATACTGTTTAGAATATATCTAGTGTTAACCTGAAACAATAATTTGAGAAGACATACTTTCTTGGCATGTTATGTCCTGTGTATCACACTTAGCCTTTCTGTGAGCCATGGTACCTTGACTTAGAACAATGATGTTCCTTCGCCAGACTGGGTTTGAGGCTAGAGGACGAAGGAAGGTGGGACACAGGAATTAATCACAAATTAATCTGCCTTTCAGAAACTCCCCAAGTGGGTCGAGAGGAGGCGGCCAGATCTATCAGCGATGCAAGAGGTTTTTGTAGAAAGGAAAAGTGCAGGTTGGGCGCTGTGAGTGCATACGCAGGAATTAACTGTTAGGGGAGAGGGTGAAGTTCCCTCAAACTCATGATGCTAGGTTACCAGGCAAACTTTTACTAGATGGAATGAATTTTCTTTTTTAATCACATCAAAGATTCTGCTATTTATGGCCAGCATCTGTCACCTAACCCATAGCTAATTCCTGCAGAATCAGCTTCTTCAAATTTTTATCCCTGAAGGGTGCTAAGCACCCAGTAAACAAGTTTATTATTGTTGTGACCCTATGAACAATACACCTGCACCCTGTCCTATCCCTGTGCCTTCCTCATCATTTCGCAGACACTGGAACCCATCGTAGCAGTCACTGTGTCAGTTCCTCCTGTTGAGGGTCTTCCTTTTTTTCACTGACACTCCATTTTTCCAAGCATGATATTCCTTTCCAAGGAATAACCTCTCAGCAACATGTTCAAATTATGAGAGATGAAGCTTCATCATCTTTGCCTTCAAGGAGCACTCTGGCTGCATGTTTTCCAAGACACACTGTTTTCTTTTGATAGTCTGTTGGTGTTCAGTACTCTTCCAACACAACTCAAAGGCATCAATTATTCCTGTTATCCTTATTTATTATCCAGTTCTCAGATGTGTAAAAAGTAACCGAAAACACCCTGACCTCAATCAGGCATACCTTAGCCGTCAGAATGACATCATAGCCCTTCAGTGTTTTGGAGAGGTTCCTGATAGTGGAGTTGCTCATTCCAATACATCTGCTGATCAGTACCTGACTGCTGGTACAAGGGTGTTGATTGCTGATCCCAAGCGAGATAAACAACTTCGGTCCTTTCTCCATCTGTCATGATGTTGCTTATTGGCCCAGGGGATTTTGTTTTCTCGATGTTGAGATGTGATCTATACCAAAGGCTGCAGACCTTGATCTTCTTCAGCAAGTGTTTCAAGTCCTCGCTTTCAACAAAACAAGATTGTGTCACCTGCTTAATGCAGGTTATTGGTGAGTCTTCCTCCAGTCCTAATGCCACTTTCCTCATAGAGTCCAGCTTCAGGAATTATCTGCTCAACATGGTATGGAGAAAGGCTACATCCCTCACATACCCCCTGCCGGATTTTAAACCATGCAGTATTCCCTTGCTCCATTCAGACCATAGCTTCTTGACCTTAGTATAAATTTTGTATGAGCACAATTAAGTGTTCTGGAATTCTCATTCTCAGTGTTAGCTATGCTTTGTTATGACCACACAGTCAAATGTTTGTATATTCAAAAAAGCACAAATAGACATTCTCCTTGTATTCTTTGCTTTCAGCCAGGATCCATCTAACATCAGTAATGATATCCCAGATGCCACCAACTCTTCTAGATCCAGCTTAAAATTCCGCTATTGTTCCCTGTCAACATACATTCTAGCCATTTTTGGATGATCTTTAATGTTTTGCTTACATGTAATAATGATATTATTAG